CCCCCCACAAACTGATAATAAAGATTTCCCACAAACTCAACAGAGAAATGCGCATTAACATAAAACGCGAGCCAGGCATTACATCAAACACATGATGAGCTAGCCAGTCATTTCTACTTCTAACTTAACATTCTCGTAGTTCATCAAAATCACCATGATAACAAAGAGAGCAAAACCATTAAAAAATCCGAAAAAAAAAAGTAGAAAAAAAAAATCTGAGAAATTTTAGAAATCGAGCAGTCAAACTAGAGCATACCGATTCAAGCAGCTACGTCTATACTGATAGGCTTGGGCCTTGACAAATCCACCAACGAATCTTTTCGGATTTTTATCCGTCCTTGAATTAAAATCTTTGCTTTATTTAAAGGTTGAGTTATTAGGAAAATTGTTGAGAACAGAACAAGCTTCATCGAATAGGGTACAAGAGCCCCAAAGACAAATGATTTTCTTGTTTTTTAATCTTGTATACCCCACTCTTTCATATTTTCAAATGCACCCCCCACATTGAACATTGTTAGTTTTTAATGTTGTAAGGAGGAAATTTCAGCTCAGCAACTGATAGAACTTTGTGAATATCCTGGGACTTTCCTTGCACAACTCTTGGAGGGCATTTTTTAATAGTGCGGTAAATTTTGACGTGAATTATCAAATATCTATATTTTGGGAGTAAATTTGCAAGGTTGTTTATCCTCTTCAATTAGATCATAATTTGAGAGGTTCCAATTACCATAATTTTTACCACCACAATGATTATTAAAAGTAGTGGTTTTAAGGATAGTAGTGGTTTCAAGATAGCACTAATAATCCTACGTGGCATAATCTCAGCTATTTAAAATGAAACTAGGTGGATTGCACGTGCAATGCACGTGGTAAAGTTTTTATTTTTTGTTTAAAATTTTTAATTTTATTTTTAATGTTTTGTTATAAAATTATGGAATGTAAGTAATGGATAAAACATATAGACATAATATAAATATTCGTCATTTGAACAATTAAAATATATTTATTTATTTATTTATTGGTTGGCCAATGCAATTTTTTAAAATGGTTAAGGGTTCACATTAAATTATCATAAGTTAAGTATCGTTGCAGAACACAATACTGATTAGATATAAATTAAATGGAACACATTTGGACGTTCGAGAGAAACTTATAAGAATGTAAAAGAATTACAAGTTAAGAAGGCGAACAGCCGTCATCTACCAACAATGCATTTTTTTCCTCTATATTTAGGCAGTTGCTTTCACTGTGATGTAAGCGTCCAAACATTATATATGCATTATCAGTCTTGCTCTCAATACAAATGTTCCACTCGATGACTGACTAAAGCTACTAAAATGAATGATTAATATTACATTTGAGATGAGTAATACAATGTTAGAGGTTATCCGCCGATTTCTTCTTGAATTGGATGTCTTCAATAGTACCTTGAAAGTACGCTTTCCACAAGATAAGCCGAAAGCCCAAGCATGCTGTCAAGCCAATTGATCCCTTGATGCACCTTTTGAGTTTTGAGGAAATAAATCTATAAGTTGTCTTCTAATTCATCCGGGAGATGTAATTGAAAGTCCTATACCGTGCAGAGAGTTGATTGTGCCGAAGAAATATCAGGCAATCATTGTCTTCAAAATGATGAACAGGAAAATATATACTGTTGTTTTATGCTCTTTCCCACATATCCTCCCTAAAAAAAGAAATAAAAAAGGAAAATCAAACACAAAGACACAAATAAATATATAGAGGACGAAAAGGAAGGGCGGGGGAGTATATAGGTAAGATGGTCCCGTTATTATACTTGTACGATACGATGCTCATAAACATATAATTAATTGCACTTAAAGTAATAAGTAACCTGGCCAAGCATTGCAGCTTCCGCATCTATTCCGCCAACTCCCCAGCCAGCAACACCTAACCCATCTATCATAGTTGTGTGGGAATCAGTACCAACAACACTGTCAGGGTTAAGCATTCCTTCATTGTTAAAAACAACTCGTCCAAGGTATTCCAAGTTCATCTGCAAGACAGGTTAAGAACAACGTTTAGATTATGCAACCATTAATTATCAGAAACTCGTCTGAGATTAAACTCTTAACACGACAGCAGATCAGATGCACCCTTCATGAATGATGTAATCTAATTACATGGTGGACAATACCAGACCCTTTTGGGACAACAAGCATATTATTGAATGCATTGGAACACCATTTCAAAAATCCAAATCTTTCCTTGTAGTGTTGAAACTCAAGTTCCATATTTGCCTGAACTGCATTCGCTGATCTTGCCACATCAATCTGTACTGAGTGATCAATAACAAGATCCACAGGAACCTGCACGTAAATGTTAACCCTCAGATAGTAGCTAAGATAGTCAACACGATGGAACAAATTACACACAGGCCAAGTATGTGCATAATTTTGCTAATATAAATAATAGTTTCAAATGTTACAACAATAATGATATTGCTATGGAATCCTTACAATTGAAGTGACGTGTCAAATCATAAAACAATGTGTTTCTTCTATTTCAGTTATTTATGCCTCCTCATAAAGTTTGTCCACACATAAATGGCTTAATAAAATAAAGTGTTATAAACAGAGAAAAGAAAAAAAGCTCTAATTGTGGAGTATACATGTACCATAGCTATGATAAACACGCCAACATAAGGAAATAATTTCATCAGTTTCAACAATTACAAACAGATAAATATCGACATACATGCAGAGATTACAGAAGAATATATTGTATAAAGCATAGAAACAAGTGATTTTGCGTCAAGGGACCCAACAACTTTTTAAAGCAGAATATAATATTTGAGCAGACCTTTCCATGAACAATCTTCCCACTGCAATTTTCCACTGATCAGAATATCATAAGACGTTCTTCTACAAAAAGTAAAGGTGGAGAGAATTAATGTAAGGTGTACCGCAGAACCGAGTAGAGCATCCAGTAAGTCCTCATCAGCATAGACACAATTTCCTTCAGTAGAATTACCAATCAGGTAAAGATGTGTCTTGATACCTGACATACACCAATTCTCTGTAGTACATTAAGATAAAGCATCAAAATGCTCTCTGTGATGTAATTAAAAAGATTAGCCTGACTTTGAGCTCAATATCAGATAAAGTACTATAACTTGGCGTTAAGGGTTATTCATGCTATCACATGATAATCAAGTGAAAGATAAAATTTATTTTCCATCACTGAATAGATGTTATCAAAAGAAAGGAGTACCTCTAATGCAACATCAAGGGCATTTCAACCAACAGGATGAGCACTCAATTCTGCTAGGTACTTAACAAGGTGCATTGATGAAATTTCCAAGTAGATGGATCCTCTGCCACATAACTTTGTAAAGTTCATAATTTGTAAAGTGCTGCTCCTTAAAGAAATTAGTTCCCTTGATGACGAGCCGATGAAAGCTACTACTCAAAGCATTGCCCCAAAACACAAGGCATTGACATCATTAATACAAAGTCATGATCAATCTTTAAATGTCCTGGTTAGGGACAGCTTTAGTTGAAAGTTTTGGTTACTACACTGTATTTATAAAACTAAAAGTTCAACAGAAACAGAATGACAAATTCATCAAGCAATCTAAAATAGGTCCAAGTCATTAAAAGAATCAATCTTTCAAAGATCTACAAACTGTACACAGAGTCTTGAGCACTTTCGAATAAACCGTAGGTACACTTAAACAATAAAAAGAAAGAAAATATGGATGAAAAATACAGTTGTTTGCCTGCTGCTGTCTAAAATCTGGGTTTGAGCAGCAGTAAAGCCTTCAGTTTGAGTGTCAGATCAGTTGTAACCAAAAGGACGAAGCGGTTACAAAAGAATGAGAGCAAGTAGACTTGAATTACCTCGAAGAGTCTTCAAGTACATCTCATTTGTTTGAAGGTAGCCTGTTCCTTATACTGTTGGAGTATTTGGAATCAGGATTATCGCTTTTATCGGTATCAGAATTCTCGCCTCTCTGCAACTCAATATCTGAGCTCCCTGCTTGGGTCCTTCTATGTATTTGATCATGTAAACTCTCGGAAGGATTCATTTCATTGACATAAAGTATTAAAATACCAAGTTATTAATCCTATTTCGTAAAAGATTAAAGGGGAAAATATCCTAAAAAGAGCTGTAGAATATCACATAGGGAGGAAGTAGATAGTGACACGGACTCATCAGTGCAGGTAGTAGACAATAGGGATATCAGTGAACGTAGAACATTATTTTTTCCTTTTATTAAGTCGTCAAGTAAAAGATGGGTCCGTAAGTAAAACCATGAGATTGTTTTATCTATATTTTAGATAGTCATGATGTAATTTCTAGACTCTAGTTATATAAAATGGAGTTGCAAAAATTTTTTACTTTAAAAACTGCCTTCTCAGCCTTTTCTTATTGCTTGAGGACAATAAATTGGTATGGCACATTCTCAATCAATAAAATGGATGCATTGGTCTAAGTTTGTAACATATAAATATTCTCCAAGATCAGATAGGATGCAATGATAATATAATACTTGCTTGGAATTTACCTGAGGAAACAGGAACACCTTTGTAGCACAATCAGAGGACAGTAAGTTGAACAAGACATTGTTGTTTTTATGTAAAATAGTTCATATTTTTGCTACTAATCCAACAAGTGATTCCAAGTTCTGGCTTGTAAACAGCAATGTCTTAAGATGATAATCTGCAAGCTCAGATATGGTTACTAATTTGTTATACTTGTAGTCAAATACATCGATAACTGTAAGAAGTTCCACATGTAAAGGGTTTGCAAAGTAAGCAGCCTGTTCCACAGGTAGCAACAAACTGTTAGGTTTTTGGTATATAATATTAAAAGTCAATATTCTTTAACTGTCAAAAAGAAAAAGAAAAAAAGAAAAAGAAAAAGAAAAAGATTCCTATGATATGGTAAAGAGTGTATATCATGTTTTGTTTGTCAAGCCAAAAAATAGCCAGACTCAGCTTATTCTTATTTCTTACCTGTCCTCAATGTCGTGCTCGGCATTATGAATCCTATAAGAATAGTATCGTAATAACATCCTATATCATAAAAGGTTTCTCAAAGCACTCCTTAAAAAAATTCATCCTTGTTCTCTTAGGTCTCTCCTTCCACTATTCTCAAAAAAAATTACTAAGCACAAATCCAAAAAGTTTGTGTTCAGACAGCATTAGGAACCCCAAATGCTGACTTACTTAGTAAATTACATATGAATAAGAAAATTAACTAACGCGGTCAGTAAAATACCTGTAATTATGCATAATCTGGAGTTGTCGAAGAACTTTTCAAAAAAAAGACCTTTAGGGAGCAATTACTGTTTTCCTTTGCAAACCGTGAAAACAAATAGAACATATCCTTGTGGAAAAACGCTGTAATTCGCTTGGTATCATAAGGAACCAAAAAGATATGCCCATACTCGACGTGATTCAACTTAAATAAATGATCAGAGTAAATGACAAAATGAAGTAAAACACTTCGACATACAATCCCTATTCATGAGCAAAACAAACCTCAACATATACTCGCATTAACCAGAATCAAGAATCCATGCATAGGAATTGCAGCCGAAGGAATAAGTTGACTTTGACAACTCTCCTTTTCTCCACTTGCAATGCAAAATAGAAGATTCTCCCTGAGAATTTTCATAGGAGTTGGGTTCCCAGGTCCTTATGCAAATGTATAGCGATTATGGAATCCAAGAAGTAGAATATATATTTCTACAAGGAAAAAAAATTTATTGTGTTAAATTATTGATTTTATTAAACATAAGTATAGCAGTGAATATAATTTGAGAGAATAAGTATATTTTATTTGATGTTCAATAGTACTTTAGTTTTTTTTTAATTTTGGTACACTATACATGCATCTAAGTCTATAAAAACATTTTACAAAGTTTTAAAAGTTGGTTTAAGTCAAAACATCAAAATTCAAGTATCTCATATTTTCATGTTTTGGACTATCTTGTAAAATGATGATATTTTTCATTTGGGAGGTCCTTTCTGATAACCAGTTATTGTAACATGTTTATTATCATGTCTACAATCATTCCCCAAAGTTTTACGTTTTTCGGAATTTATTTGATATTTTTAAACAGCTTTTTAAAATCAGCAAATCAGGTTTTTCATGTGTCAGATTTCGGTCGACCGCACCGGTCGACCGATCATTTGATCTTTCTTCACTGGGCGACAGAGAGTCTGTCGGTCGACCGGTCCGGTCGACCGAAAGCTCCATCGGTCGACCACACTGGTCGACCGACGATTGTCCAGAACTGGTTTTCGTGCTTTTTCGCTCCATCGGTCGACCGACTGAATTTTTCGGTCGACCGACAATATAGCCGTTGGCTACTAACGGCTATTTCTGAGCTGTTTCTCTGGGGGCTGTTTTGTCATTTGTTTTGGGGGTTTTTGCTAAGATCTTTAGTGGGTATATATACCCCATTGCTGATGTCTTTTCAAGTGAACCAAGAGAGTTTTAAAACTAGTTTAAGAAAGTTTTAATCAAGGGTTTAAGTTTGTTTTTAGTGTTTGTTTAAAAAGCTTTTAAGCATTTACAAGAGTTTGGTTTGTGGAGCAAATTTCACAAGAGCAAGTGGAGATCATCCTTGGTGTTTGAGCATTCATTCTTCTCCCTCTCTCTTGTCATCTATAGAGAAGTTTCCTTAAACTCAATTCTAGCATTTTATAAGTTTGTTCTTAATTTCATAAGCTAGATTTCATATTGAGTTTATATTGTTTTATCTCTTTGTTCACACACAACCTATTGAGCTTATTGTATTTACATTCATAGTATAATTGGGTTGTGGGATTGTGTAACTTAGAGAGTGAGCTTATAATTCGTTCTCATTCATTGTAGAGAACAAACACTTTGTATTGAGCCTAATTGTGAGGATTCACTTGTAATACACTTGTACACCGAGAGAAGTGTGTGGTGAGAGACGGGGTCGAATCCAAGAGGAGTGGCGTCGGTTGACGTGCCTAGGGAGAGGTTGTAACCGAGCACTTGAGGAGGAGGACACGGGCTAGGACCAACACTTAGTGTGTGAGGTGTGATTGCATAGTGATTGTATTGTGAGGTGTAAACGTTGTTCGGGTGAACGTAGAAAACCCGGTTGTGATAGTGGAGATCTCCTCGAGGTGAGGAGCGGAGACGTAGGTCGTGGGGACCGAACTCCGTAATCATATTGGTTGTTTGTGATTGCATTGGCGCACTTACTTTTATGTTCATATCTTATATCGCCTTTGTATATTGCTTGTTGATTATATTGCCCACTATCTAGTTTAGATTGTTTACCCTTGTGTTTGCATATCCTTACATATATCATATTGTATATCTCTTTGATAGGATATATCATCTTGTGTTAGTTTATATATCCTTGCATATACATATTCATCATATAGGATATATCTCTTTGTTTGCATTGCTTATCCTAGCTTATATATCTTGTGGTATATCATATTTGCTAGGATAACTTATTAATTAATTTTAATTGGCATTTAATCGGATTAGATTAGCATAAGACCCTAATCACCCCCCCCTCTAGGGTCTAGCAATTGGTCTCAGAGCTTGGTGCTCTTTGATTTAAGGACTAGCCGCCTTGAGTTAAAGATCCAAGTTATTGTATTTGTGCTAATCTAGTTATGATTACTGTAGGCATATAAAATTGCTTATAGGTCCCTTAGCACAGCTCGGCACAAACCGACGAACCAACGAGGCGACGAGGTTGACGAATCGCACGCAAGCAACGGAATACATCCATTCGCGTGCGGAATCAAGCCAACGGTTCGGGGAGTCAACGAGTCATCCAAACAAGAGCGGACTCGGATGAATCACGACCGAATCAAGATCGGTTTCGGACTCGAACTCAGAAGTGGGTTTACTGCTAAATCTGGTCAACAAATCGAGTCCAGACAAATCAACCGCACAAACGAATCACGGACAAAACGGGAACAACGACGGAACCCAAACACCCTGAGGGGCTCGGCCGAAACCGAGCCACCCCAGGGTGGCTCGGCCAAGACCGAGCCACCCTGAGGTGGCTCGGCCAAAGAGGGGCTCGGCCGAAACCGAGCCACCTCAGGGTGGCTCGGCCCATGCCGAGCCACCCAGGGGTGGCCGGCCACTTGTGGCCGAGCCACCTCAGCCCAGATCTGTGCCTAGGCACAGATCTGGGTGCCTATAAATAGGCCAAGGGTGGTTCATTTTGAAAGGTTGGAACTTTGAGAG